ACACACACACACACACACACACACACACACACACCTTCGTGTCGGACCTGGGCAATAGCTGCAGCCCACTGCCCCGGTTGCCAATGATGTCATTTTCGATGACCACGGTGCTGTCGCCCTTGGTGATGATGCCATGGCCTCTGTTGTCATAGATACCGTTGCCCCGGAGCTCCACCTTGCACTGGGCCTCGACCTTGACCCCACTCTGCCGGTTGCAGGAGATGCTGTTGCTGGCCACTCGGGTGAGCTGGCTGCTCTGGGCTACAGTGATGCCTCTGTCTCCGTTAGCATGGATCACGTTGGTGAGGACGTGCAGTGCCTCGCTGCTCTGGACGTACAGTCCTGAGGCTGCGGGTGGAGGGGTTAGGGAGCAGGGTCAGTCCTGACAACGGCAGTCAGGAAAAACCCTGGTGGAATTGTGCATCCTGGGAGAGAGGTGGGGCAGAAGAGGCAGCAACACTCGGAACCAGCCCTTGGGAGTCACATCTTTCAGGATGGATGACAAACCGAGCAGGAAGAAACCCTGGAGCATCAGGGAAATTCTGTTCCTTCTGAACTAAGTCCTCAGTAAACAGGAAAAGGTGATGAAGGCTGCTTTGGCTCAGCTGCCCATGCGGCTCTCCTGTGCTCGCCTGCTCCTACGATATTGTCATCTGTGATGGGGCGCTCACTCCCTGCTTAAGGCTGCCTGTTCCCCCTCCAGACAGGTCCACCTGCTGGACAGCTGTTCTGCATGTTTCTCCTCTTGTACTGAGATGGCATCTGCCTCCTTATTGTTTTGGGAAATTTTCTTTACAAGGGAAATTCTGTAACTTTATTAAGCTAAGTATCTAAAATGTTCGAAATTTGGGAAAGAAAATGATGTTTGGGGTTGTATATGCTTAGAGACACTACATGGTTATAGAAAAAAACCCCCACAAAATCAGCAGGCTTAGAGCCGCGTGGCTTGGTCAAAAAGAGACAGCATGGCAGGGGCACCTGGAGGTGAAGAGGAGGAGGACTCCCCAGTGGTGATATCCACCCACAAGAGCAAGAGGCATCAGGAGGAGGTTGTGGGGAGGACGACACCAGGGGTCACATGGGAGTCTGCAAATTCCAACCTCTCATGCCACCTGCCTGTTGCTTCTGCCTGGTGGAGAAGAGCAAATATAAATCAAATATCCGTGAATTTATGTGGCTTTGCCTGTCCTACTGGACAGCATGGCCATGTGGAGAAAGCCCTGAACTAGGAGTGGACAGAACTCATCTTCTGCTGGCTCCCACTCTCCCTGCCCTCTGCCTTCCCCAGGACAAGAGCTCGCTAGTGTCCAAGAGCCTTCTTTTAACAAGACTTCCTTCAACAGCCCTCTACAGTGGCTCTAATCATCCTTCAGGTTTGGGAGCCCTGGAGTTAGATCAACTCTGTAAGTTTTTTTTTTTTTTCTTTCCAAATTTAAGATAACCTGTGGATTTAAAACCCACTCTTACTCTCTGTACAAGAAAGAAAAATTGCCAATTAAACCACGATATGCCATCAATTGGAAATGCACATTATTAGATGCTAAAATGTGGGGAACGTGTCTCAGATTGGAAATATATATGCCAGGTGTGGGATGTGGGATCTGCTGCGGCAGGGGTGCCGACAGACTGGGATTCAGCTCCGTGCCTCAAGTTCATAGCCTGTCAGAGTTGACAAAACAGCCACAGAAACATATCCAGTCCCAGGCCCCCAGGAAGTGCCAGTGGGGTGAGAGGGTAAGGGTGCATTCATAGTGGGCCTTGAACTTCAAGTTGTTTGGGATGTGTGGATGGGGGAAAGGAGATTTCAGGGAAGAGAAACAGCATGAGCAAAGTGAGATAGGGGGCAGGAAAGATGGATTTAAGTTCAGGGAAGGTGATGGCCAGAGGTCTGGGGTACTGGGTAAGTGGCCAAAAGCAGTAGCCAACCAAGCGGGAAGGGTCCTTAAGACAGTGTGAGGACGGAAGGCTCTGGAGCAGGGGATACTCACCTCCGTTGTGATTAATACTGTTGGACTCCACGAGAGCTATGGCGATGGGCCGGCGCAGTGGGTCATCGTCTTTCTCCAGCTCTGTCTCCCAAAGGATGGCGTCCCCATCCTCGCTGAAGTTCTCCTGGGCCCCGTGACCTCCAGGGAACTCACCAGAACCCTCCTTCTGACTAAACACTGCCACTCCATACAGGCCATTGTAGCTGACGTGGTTGCTGGTGACGTGGGGCAGGCTGGACGACATCATCCACACACCACAGCCCTTATTAGCTGGGATGGTGAAAGGGGCTGGTCATGGACACTGAGCAGCGGGTGAGGCAGCACCCAGTGTCTCCCCAAGAGGTGAAGCAAAGATGGCACTGGCCTGGGAGACAAGAGTCCCTGGCGTGCTAATGGCCTTGGACAAATCACTTTATGGCTGGAGGCTTCACCTTCATACAAGAGGGTAACAACCAGGTCAGTCTCACAACCAGGATACTTCCATAGGGTGTAAAAGTGCTCTGAGAACTGTCAAGGCCACAGTTCCAGAGCACAGAAGCCCAGAGTGACACTGCCAGAGGGTCCTCAGAGTTCACCCAGCCCAACCCCTTCCTGCATAGAGATGGAGGTGGCCTCAGTTTGAATGCCAGCCCTATCACTTCCTAGCTGTGTGACCTTCAGCAGGTTATTGAACCTCTCTGTGTCTCAGTTTCCTTATCTTTAAAATGGGGTAAATAACAATAATTAGAGATATGGTCCAGAGAGTAAGGCTCTGCTCAAAGTCACAGCATGAGCAAGAACAGTTTCTTTTTTAGGACTATCCTATTTCTCCCATTCTATTTCTAGTTCTCTAGATCAAAAGAAAGGGGTAAGAGGAGTCAGATGCCCACATCAGTGCCTAAATGGCTCCGTCCTTACACAACTCCTGACTTTTGTGATTTTAGATGGGGATGAAGCTCTCTGTTTCACCGATCCCGTGGGTTACAAGGTGATTTATGAGAGGCTCTTGTACTCTGACAGGGACTGTGTGGCTGTGGCCTGAGATCAACCTGTTCTTCAGGACATCTTTGAGGCCCAGGGAAGACTGTAACTTTCTCAGGACCCACAAGCTAAGGATGGAATCTGGGCTTCCTGCCTCCCTGGCTGGGCTAGACCCAAGATCCGTTCCCCCAGGAACATGCGCCTCACCATAGATGGTGTTTCCTTCTATCAGTCCTTTGCCTTCATCTCCCACGACCACACCATCTGAGTAGCCGAAGCAGATGAGGTTGCTCCTGAGGACGGGGACTCCTCCTCGACGGATGTCTACACCTCCCCACTGATTCTCACGGATGACATTTTCTATGGAGAGGCAGAAGAGAGGGTCAAGACCCAAGGACCACCCACACTGGCCATGAGGACTTGGACAGCTGAGAGAAAGGACCTTCTGGACCAGGACACCAGGCCTTGACTTGTCAACAATCAGCATCCTGAATCTTGCTTGGTATTTGGCTTTTCAGGGACTTGAGTGCTGTCTTCTTTCCTCAAGGGCAAGGTTTGTATCTTTCTTGTGCTCTCTTATATTCCTAATACCCGCTGTACCCAGTGGCCTTAAGGAACAACAACTAAGAATAAACTGGCTTTAGAGTCTCTGGACCAAGGCCAGGCAGGGCTGCCTGTTCTGGGGCTGTTTCTAGGAGGGCTGAGGCAGAATGCAGCCATTCCCCCACCAGCCTGGGGAGGCACAAGCTGGTCCTTCTCAGGCTCAGCTCTGGACTGACCACAGCCTTCCTCTCCTCATCCACTACCTCTCTGGGAGTGGGCCGAAGAGTCACAATTCAGGGGGTTGGTGCTGGGATACGGATATTCCCAATACTACGGCTGGGCAGACTCTCAGTCTCCTGAGACTGGAGTGCAATGGCCCAGGAGACCCTGTGTGACTGGCCCCTTCCTGCCTCTGTGACCCTGTCTGACTTGTGACTCCCTGCTCCTCCTTCACCACACCCACTCACACCAGTAACCTCCCTGCTCCCCAGGCATGCCAACTGTGTTTCACAGGTGGCCCTGCTTAGAATTCCAGTTCTTTTCTCAGGCTTTGTCCTGTCACCCAGGTCTGGCCTTCTCAGAAATGCCTGCCCTGACCACACAATCCTAAATACCCACATAGTCCCTCTATCACTATATTTTAATTAATTTCAATAAATTATTTCAATTATTGCATATAAACATAACATTTTACATATTATATATTTACATATACATTTATGTAAATATATCAGTTAATAATATATAATTATCTCTAGAGCACTTATCACTCACAGATACGCCTCTTGTGTGTGTGTGTGTGTGTACATGTTTATTTTCCCCTAAAATGTCAGGAACCCAAGGGTTACTGTTCACAGAACTGTTCTGTTCACTGATGTATCCCCATCTCCTTCATACCTTGTGTGTTCAATAAACATCTGATGAATGAAGGCAGGATTCAGTCAGAGGGATTTACTGGATCAACCTCTTTTTATGTCCCAGGTATGGCTATGCTCCGTGCTGAGGCTACAGTGATGTACCACACTGACTTGATCCTTGTCTTAGCGAACTTACCGCCTTATATTAAAGGAGACTGACCTTACACAGATCCCTAAGAAATTAAGTAAGACATCCCACAGAGCATGGCTGCTGGGTACAGTGAGTGTTTATGTGTACAGTGGGAAGTCCGGGCAGGCTTCCCTGAGGAAGTGACATTTAGGCTGAGACCCAAAGGATCTGCTCGGCAGGTGTTGGCCAGGTGGAGGGGAAATGGGGATGGGTTTCCTGAGCAGGCATAAGCCCATACAAAAGCCAAGAGGAAGGATTCAGTTTGTGTGCCATAAATGTTTCTGACAGTGTTATGTGAGCCTTCCAGTGAGATCCTGTAAGCAGCGGGCCTGGCAAAGAGCAGACACTCCCTCCCTGTTAGCCCTCCTTGAGGCTGGCATGGCCAGTGTACAGAACAGCAACGAAGACAGAAGGTGGCCAGGCTGTCGAGGTAAAGAAGTAGGCAGGGGCAAGGCCAGGGATGTTGGCTCAGCTGCTGGTTGCCTGGTTGGCCACGGCTCTAGGCATTTCCCACCCTTACCTGTGATGAGGCCTTTGCCATTCTCGTTCACTGCTATGCCAGCTGCACGGCCCTTAAAAATGTGGTTCCCGCTAAAATGCAAGGAAGAAGAGTAAGATGAGACCACTATCATATGTCAAAGCCAATGCCTGCTCAAGGTGACTACCTTCTTTTGTGGCCTTCCCCAAACAACACAAGTCCACAGGGGCATAAAGCATTTCTGCAGTCCTAGAAGCCATTTATAAATTTTTAGTGAACTTGCAGACAACTTGATCCAGAACTAAATCAATAACTATGCCATACAATCACAATGCTACTTGAGTTTCTGTGACCTCTCTTGACTGTCGCTCACATGCAAGCTGTTTGAAACACATGCCATCGTGGTGCACAGGTGACAAGTCCACAACTGGTCATGTCAAGAATTCCTAGGAAGCTGTGTTAAGCTGCTTTGGGCATGATTTGTGCCCAAAGCTGAGTCAGAGTCTCTGCCTGTAATGAGCCTACAATCCCTGTTCATATCCAACAGCTACTCTTTATCTTATTTTCTGTTAATCACCTATCCCCTGAAAGACAACATAAAATAATGATATGCCTTAAAAAAAGAAAACCAGATTTTTTAAAAGGAGGTTTTGAGAGTATCAGAGGATGTGTATGTGAGACCTCATGGGCTGGCTGAGCCACATGTGGACGATACAGGAAAACATGCTCCTGCTCAGAGAAACACGCAGCCCTCACTGCCATGGAAAGGCCTTGCGAATTAAACACCAGACGCCTGAACATGTTAAGGACATGCATTGTCTCTGCACCTCAGTTTCCTGCCTGTTAAAACAAAGCCAGTCACACCTGGACATTAGCACAATTGGGTTATCCCTGGAGGACACACATTTGCTGTTTATTTTTACTAACAGGAATGCTGTGACCTCCTTTCTTCTTAGAAGGGCACCCACCTCCTCTCTTAGGAGACAGCCCTCCTACTTCCTTCCATGTGGCTGAGGGATTTAGGTCCAGTATTCAACCGGCTCTTTAGAGCCTAACTCAGGGCCTGGCATCCAACAGAACATTACTGAGTAGGAGTTGGCTAAGTTTTCCCATCTCCTAGGGCAGGGTCCAAATGGTTTACATCTTTGGGGAAAAAAACCCGGCAAAGTATGTTGATGCTGGGGAAGCCAAATGTCAACTGCACCTACCTATGCATTTGAGTGGAACAAGAGAAATCATTTGTTAAAGGCATCCCCATTTTTGCCCTCAGATCTAAAGAGTCTGTTTTGATCTGGTTACAATTCAGTCAGCAGATGGTTACTGTGGGTTTCTAGAATTCACGGTCGGACATAGTCCCTGGGCTAGGGCATCCATGTTTCTGAGAGCTGTGCCATAGCAGCAAATGCATGGCTGGTATAGTTTAATACAAATCTCACCTCCAGAAGAGACCCGTGGGCACTTGGAGAGTGTATGTACGCAGGGAGAGCAAAACAAAGATAAAAGAGGGATCAGAAAACATTTAGGAAAAGGGGACAGATCACTGTTCCAAGAACCAATGGTAGGATGTTTATGGCAGATGAGACAGTTTGAACCCTGTGCTTCCTTGAAGCCAAGGCAAAAAGAGAAACACAAAGGGTTATAAAACTCTCACTGGCAAAAAGACTGCCATGGCCTTATCCAGGCTACTTCGGGGATTTCAAAATTCATTCTGTACCCTCCCCCAGATACCTACCTTCCATCACAAAGAAACATAAAGTGAAAAAAACACAACCTATTCTCTCAAAGAAGTTCTGGTTTTTTGTTTTTAAAGATTTTAAGTAATCTCTACTCTAAACATGGGGCTTCAACTCACAACCCCGAGATCAAGAGTCGCACATTCCACTGACTGAGCCAGCCAGGAGGAGCCCCTCAAAGAGATTCTGTTTTAAAAACCAAGACACTGATCTGACTGTAACAGTCCTTGCTCAGAACTCTTCAACAGTTCCCTAGCACCCACAGGGTAAAGTCCAAACTTCCCAGATTTGGTGTGTGACTGCTATGACAAATTACCATACACACAGTGCCTTAACACAATACAAATTTACTACCTTCTTGTTTAGGAGGTCTGAAGTCCAAAATGGGTCCTACAGGACTAAATCAAGGTGGCAGCAGATTTATGTTCCTTCTGGAAGGTCTATGGGGAATCTATTTCTTGTCCTTTCAAGCTTCTACAGGTCGCCCATACTTCTTGGCCTACAGTCTCATCACTCTGACCTCTGCTTACTACTGTCACATTTCCTCCTCCCGACTGATTCTCTTGCTTCCCTCTAAGGATCTTTATGATTTATAGAAGAGCCTACCTGGATAATCCATGATGGTCTCCCCATTTTAAGGTTATTAATTTATTCACATCTTCAACATCTCTTTTGCCATGAAAGATAACATATTTGCACGTTCCAAGGATTAGGAAGTGGATTGATCTGGAGAGTCATTATTTTGCAGATCATACTCGGTATCAGAGGTTCTGTGTTCCAGCATCAACCTGTCTTCATAGGCTGCTCTTCTACTCAATCTTCTGGGCCTCTTGTGGCAGACGCACCACACTTAATACCATTTTTCCAAGACACATCCTGGAATTTCACTGCCCCTGAGCCCAGAATGCCATCTCCCTGGCCACAAAATCCTACCTATCCCTTACACACAACTCATGCCTTCTTCCCCTGACTCGCTCAGCTGAAACTATGGCTGGCTCCTCTGTCATTCTGTCACTTACACAAAGACCTATTAAAGCACTTGTTTTGATGAGTCTCCCTCATGGTTGTGTGTCCATCTCCAGCATGAGACCGTAAACACCATGGAGCAGAGACTGTTCTTACACACTTTTTATATCACTGTCCCCTTACATAGACAGTAAACACTTACATGTGTGTTAAATCTATAGCAAGCATATGTATAAACACATACTCTTAAGGTAATAATGCAAAAGATGGAGAAAGAACTCTGTGACCACTAACTGTTTTCAGTAAGATGTCTGTAACAGTCAAAAATAGATGCCTAACTAGGGCGCCTGGGTGGCTCAGTCAGTTGAGCCTCTGACTTCAGTTCAGGTCATGATCTTATGGTTCGTGAGAGCCGCGTTGGGCTCTGTGCTGACAGCTCAGAGCCTGGAGCCTGCTTCAGATTCTTGGAAGAATGTCTCCCTCTCCGAAGAGGGATGTCTCCCTCTCTCTGCCCTTTCCCCGCTCATGCTCTCTGTCTCTCAGAGATGAATAAACGTTAAAAAAAAAAAAAAAAAAAATAGATGCCTAACAGTAAAAGGACTGGTTCAAAAATTATGGAATACCAAAAAGATGGAATGTTCCGAAACTTTCCAAAACTGATAAACGCCATGCAACAATATGGAAAAGCACATCTGGAATAATCAAGGGGAAAAAACACTTCAGAATATATTTGCTGCACATTTGTTCCAGTTATTTTCCTAAAGCAAGACATAACTGTGTGAGTCTTCTGTTTAAAAATTTTTAAACGCCACCTTCCTCAGCTGGGTCCACATAAGGCTTCCTCCTCCAGCCCTGAGCTTTCTTCTCATCACACTTTCCACTCTGCCACAGAGATATAGATCATGCTGCAGCAGCCACAGGACCCACAATTTTCTGGGATAGTCCCAATTTAAAACATTTTATACCAACATCACAACTTGTGTCAGACATGTTCTCAAGCCACAGTGGACTATTAGCCAACCCCTGAATCTGCCTTGTTCTGCTGCCTTTGTTCACGCTGTTTCTTTTACTAGGAATGCCCACTCCCATATCCATGACAGTCCATGTTCTACCCACAGTTCAAAGTCCAACTCTAACGCCCCTTTGTAAGGAGGCCTTCCCACATCCCCCCAGTAGAATGGTTGTCTCCCTTGGGAGCACTTCAGTAGCATTTATCAGCCTTCCCCATTTGAGAGCTGGGATGGCAGCCCCATGCTCCTGGCAATGCCACTGCCCCTTCTCGCCTAACAGCTCACATGGCTGATCCATCACAGCACGCTTTTGTGCTGAGGCCAGATGCAGCCCCTGGATCTTAACACAGCATCTTAGGTAGCTGCTTTCAACCGAACAGAGTTGTCAGGTAAGTGGAAATCTTTATGCCGTCTCTGTCTTAGAGTTATTTCTGGTCACGTATGTCTTCCATGCTAGAGTGAGCTCTGGGGGAGCAGAGTGCTCCTCTGTTATCATTATTAGAGGTGCTCAGTAACGTCTGCTGAGGAGAACTGGTAGGAAATGCAAACAAAAGCACCTGTGTTACTACAGTGGGATCGGGGTGGAGTCTCCTTTTCTTGCTTTGCTATACTGTTGTTTCAGTAAACAAAAATGTTTTCAAATGGAGGACAGTCACAGTGTAGGAAGCAGAGATCAGGGAGGAAAGAAGGGACCATGGCTGAGGATGGTCTGGGTACAGCACACATACCTCACAACTGGATTTCCGTGGTACAGGATATAAATACCAGCCTCCTTATTTGAAAAGATTTGATTGTTCCGGATGACGCCTTTCCCATTGCCAAGGACAACAATGCCAGAACGAAGGCCGTGGTGGATCTGGTTACACTGCAAGGGAACAGGAGACACCACAGAAGACAGATCAGACCTGCCAGCAAGAAACCGAGTGCTCAACTGCCAGCCCACAGCAGGGCCGGGGTGAACACAGTGGAGAAAGCGCCCCTGAAGCCCCCTGCCTAGCACATGACGAAGTGAATGGGCCACGCTGCTGCCCTGGTGCACACATGCCAAGCTGTAAGTGAGAATCCAGAGAGAGGAGTCTTCAGTGCCCCGCCTCTTGCTCTCCATCCGCAAGGCATGCTACTGAACGCTGCTGAGCCCCCAGAGTCCTCCAAACACAATACTCCAACCAGACCACACGGTCCAGGGTCCAGGGAGCTCAGCACCCCACTACATGACAATGTTGGCCACGTGCAGTCCCAAGCGGGCCACCTCCAGGGAAGAGTGAGAGCCATTTGGCTCCTACTCCCCACTTCCCATTCAGGGAAGGCCTGTGGAAAGGTGTGGCTCTGGGGAGCCTGATTGTTCCATGGGGCATGAGATCACAGAAGCTGTATGTGCTACAAACAAAGACCCTTAGATTTATTTCGAATATCTCTTTGTACGCATGGGGATGCTGGCCGAAGGCCATACAGTATGCAGCAGAGCCAGATCTGAAACCTAGTTCTCCTGCTTCCCAGTTAGCTGCTTTTGTGCAGCGACATTTTCAGGTAATAAATGATAATAAAATTGTTTCACTCAGTTAATTTAGAGCCTAAATACATTCCTATACTTAAACCAGGAACTTAGCTGTTTCTCTTCCAAAACGATTTCACAGAAGCAAAGTTCTAGTTTGCTTTAAAACGTTCCACGCTGTAAGCAATCCTATTCTTACTCACTTTCCAGATTTTCTCCTGAAGGATTTGGCAGACTTACCAGGGCAACCACTGCCTAACACAAGTCCCTCACACGGTTGTGAAAAGTGAAAAGCGAAAAGCTTGGAGAGAGAAGTGTAAGCAGTGGCATTTCCATCCCCACACCCTTTCACGAAGCCAGGACAGAAACATAACGCCCCCTTCCCCTCCACCTGCTAAACTGGCCTGTCCCCTCTGTCCCTGGGAAGGCAAACTCCTCTCATCTCTCTGGCAACAGTGGCATTCATTTCCTCAGGCAAGGCCGTGCATCAGACGCCAGCTGCATGGCAGAAATACAGTGAGAGGAAGGGGCTGAAAGAGGACGCTGGCTAGGCGTGTCTTTTTAAATATAGTTAGGAACTTTACTTCATCTGCATAGTTAGGAACTTTCCTTCATCTGCATTGGCGAGGGTGGATTTTTTTTTTTTTAATGTTTATTTAGTTTTGAGAGAGAGATAAGGAGCACATGGGGGGTGGTGGGGTAGAAAGAGAAGGCGACAGAGGATCCGAAGCAGGCTCTGTGCTGACAGTAGTGAGCCCAACGTGGGTTTAGAACTTACAAACTGTGAGATCGTGACCTGAGCCGAAGTTGGATGCTCAACCGACTGAGCCACCCAGGTACCCCAAGGGCAGTCTAATATAATGGGTTAAGAACATCGATCCTGAGTCAGGACGGCCTGGATTCAAATCCCAGCTCTGTCACTAGTTGTATGATTTGGGAAGGCATCTTTAGTGTCTCTTTATGCCTCAATGTCTTTATCCGTAAAATGGAATATTAATTCTACCACACAGGGTTGTGTAAAGATTAAACCACAAATAAATACATACATACAAAGTGATAAGCACTAGGCATAAAGGCAGATATTATTTTTTCAAGGCCATAAGAAGTCTGGGCCATTCCTTAGTTCCTGGAATATGTGTCTCTAAGGGAAGGCCTGAGCAGAAAAAGGCCTCTCATGTCACTGGTCCTATCTTCTACCATTTCAAGTGGCTTTCACATTGGTGTAAAATCAAATCCACATGGCTTCACAACATTCATGAGTCAAATAATCTTCAGAACTAAACATCATAAATGTCCTTTTTATAGTGAAGAATGATCTAACGTTTTAGTTACATCCAGGTATCTTGCAGGGCAGATACAATATCTTTATTCTTCTCAAACTCAAAGCCAACCAGAACCTATCAGAGCTGAGGAAGTGCTCTGTGACATTTCCCTGTCTATCTGGTCCTCTTTTTTCCTGACAAGGAGACTGTAGGGAGGTGATTTATTCAAAGCCATTCCTATTACGTGAAGAAAGAAGACAGAGAGTCACAAGGACACACAGAGAAAAGGCCAGGAACCACTTGCAAACAGGAAGCAATATAAATTCAAGGTGGCAACACTTATTTAAATAATCTTAGAAAAGGCTTCTGAAAAGAAGCTACTCTGAAAAGAGCATGAAGACAGAGAAAAGTACCAGTATGAGTGGGTTGGACTTTTTCCGGATGTCTACTCCTGCCTCCGCATTGTGGTAAATGTTGTTGCCAGCGATCAAGCCTCCGCCCTCCAAGCGAAGAAAGATGCCTGACGCTCTGCAGCGGTGAATGTCATTCCTGAGCATGACGATCTAGGCAGAAAAGAGAAAGCCATTTGTTTTCTTGTCACAGGTTTTTTAAAAAAAAAACTTTTTTAAAAAGAACACCTGAGTCCTTTCTTTACCATCTGCTCCCTCCCTGCTATTCCACCAGCAGACAAGGATGGCCTCTTCCCACCTGGTGTGCTCCCAGGAGCTGAGGAGCTCTGTGCCCTGCCTGCCTCTGCCCTGTAGGCTCTTTACCAGCCACAGTGGTTCATTAATAAAACCTGGACCTAAGCTCAGCCCCGTGCCCCGTGTTCACAACTTGTGAACAGAACAACTGGCTCAGGGAATGGAAACGACCCTCAGAGAAGATGGGATTTAGTGGTCTTCAAACTCTACATGCACTGGGGTTACATGGAGATCTCCCCAGGTTCCAAGGGCACAGCTAACAACGAATGGAACCAAGGTCCACATGTGCCTTTGCTAAAGTCACTTGTCTGAGGGGTGTCTAGGTGGCTCAGTTAAGTGTCCGACTCTTGATTTCTGCTCAGGTCATGATCTCACGGTTCATGAGATCGAGCCTTGTGTCTGGCTCTGCACTGACAGCCCCGGAGCCTGTTAGAATTCTCTCTCTCTCTGCCCATGCCCCACTCACGCTTGCTCTCTCTCAAAATAAAGTTTAATAACATAACATAAAAAAAAATAACAATAAAATAAAATTCACCTGCTTGAGAAAGCACCTGAGGATAACCTCCCCACTTTCCCTTTCACTTTATAAGACAAAGGCCTATTCTTGTCCATTCTGAATCTTTCTTGGGTGTATTATCCTGGGGTGCTCCTTAGTTTGGAGTTCTAAGGGAAACAATTAGAAGCACTGGTAAAAGGAAGCATTTATTTTTTTTTTTTAATTTTTTTTTTCAACGTTTTTTATTTATTTTTGGGACAGAGAGAGACAGAGCATGAACGGGGGAGGGGCAGAGAGAGAGGGAGACACAGAATCGGAAACAGGCTCCAGGCTCCGAGCCATCAGCCCAGAGCCTGATGCGGGGCTCGAACTCACGGACCGTGAGATCGTGACCTGGCTGAAGTCGGACGCTCAACCGACTGCGCCACCCAGGCGCCCCACAAGGAAGCATTTAAACAAGGTACTACAACCCAGCACAGAGCTTATTTAAGGGAATGATTGCCATTTACATTTTCTTTTTATACTTAATAGGTATAAAGATTCAGAATATATTTGTATTGCTCTAAGCAATTGCGTATTAATAGTAAAAACATATCAGGATAAACTGTATACTACTAGTAAATAATAGACTACATTAAAATAAAAGTCTAGGGGTGCCTGGGTGGCTCAGTTGGTTAAGTGTCTGACTTCGGCTCAGGTCGTGATCTCATAGTTTGTGAGTTCAAGCCCCATGTCGGGCTCAGTGCTGGCGGCTCAGAGCGTGGAGCCTGCTTCAGATCTGTGTCTCCTTCTTTCTCTGCCCCTCCCCTGCTTGCACTCTGTCTCTGTCTCTCTCAAAAATAAACATAAAATAAAATAAAATAAAATAAAATAAAATAAAATAAAATAAAATAAAATAAAATAAAATAAAATAAAATAAAATAAAATAAAATAAAATAAAATAAAATAAAAGTCTAGGAGGGTAAGGTACAATGGAAGTCCAGTTTCAAAGGGAAGCTGTTTAGGACAGAGAACGCTGACCAGAGCAGTCACTGCTCCCCCACTTACAAGAACAGAATCAGATAATGCACAAAAATACAGCCTTTCTTGAACGTGTCAGAAAACTGAGGTTGCAGGGCGGCCAACAAGCCTGAAATCCAAGGAAAACAGGCACCTCCCAGGAGACAAGATGGGAGCACTTGCCTGCACAGCTGCATATGGAGCCACATGAACCGGTAAGGATTCAGCTACAGGGTTCAGTGCATTGTTGAAGGCCAAGTGTGAACCAGTGTGAGAGTGCAGAAGCCCTGGGAGTAGGTGTATCCACTTCTCCAGAGACCTTGTGAGATGCTCACAAGGAGAGACCGGGGGACAGGACAAGAGACTGAGGACAGATAGCCTCCCACATGGTGGAGGCGTGGGGGATAAGAAGAGCAGCTACTACTGTAGGAAAGTACTAAGCCCCTCTTTGAATTTTCTCTCCAACTTCCCTGTAGAACAAGTCTTCAGCAGTGGGGGGGAAGGGCAGCAAACCCTGTCATGGAAGGGAAAGAGAAAACCCCATCTTGGGCCCAGATATTTAGAACCTCCCTAATGCTGGGGGTGAGGCAGGACCATTGGAAAGTGCCTACTTCCAAGACCCATAGACACAGCACCTGCCTAAGACTAAGGACAAACTGGGACACAGGAGAAAACCTCCCACCAGCCCAGAGCCACAAGTGACCACAATCTGCTGGGAGGGGTGAGACCATGGAGACAGTCCCCCCAACCCCCTGAGAAACAAAGAGAAGACCCTAAAAGCAGAGGAAAAAACCAGCACACAGTAAAGAAGAACATGCAAAATGCTGAGGATAATCATAACAACAAAACCTGAACTAGCTTAATCCTGACTAGACTGACCCCAAACCTGGCCCTCTAAATGCCTAGCATGAGAAGAGGTGTGCCCATTTCCACACATAAATGTGATTGACCTCAATTTCTACTTTCCCAGATACTTGACTTTCAACTAAAAATGGTAAGATACACAAAACAGCAAGAAAAACATCACAGGTTTCTTTGTGGAGTCCCAAGCAACTGGGCTTTCTGCCAGCCTTACTCTCCTGGAGATGTTCTAGAAGGCAGGGAAGGGTGGCTGCCCTCTGGCCACTGGATCAAGGCTTTGCTTCTAGGCATGGGACTAGCTCAGCAGGTCCTGCACTCCCTGCACGCCCACAGCTCCTGCTTGTATGAACGCCACTTAGCATATAATTGTACCTGATGCTGGGTACTCATGAGAAACCATGGATTTTTTTTTTTTTTAAGTCAAAAATCAGGAATATCAGTTTCTCAGGTTCCTTGCTAGAGACTCACAAGGAACTACAGGCTGCACATTTTCTTCCCAAAGCCTCTGGAAGCAACAGTTCAAAAGGGCTCCAAGTAAGGCTGTGTAACTTTTCATTTCTCCTTTTCGATGACTCTCAGCTACCACCTGCTCCCAAGTCTGCATGGCAGGGTGCATCTCTCCAAAGCTCCAGACCCAGGAAACCAGACAGCCCCTCTGCTAGATGTCAGAAATGCTCCAAACTCAGCATGCCCGGAACTGAACTCAGCATCTCTCTCCATGTCCTAATCTCCCATGTTCCTGCTATTGTCTCAGCCACTCAGGCCAGAAATCTAGGCCTCAGGGCTTTGACTACTCCCTCCTAAAGCCCTCCTTCCTACCTCTCCAGACTGCCCTGTCCCCTCCAGTTTCTGAATCACAATTCTCCACTGCCCCTCATTGATCTTGCCTCTTGCCTAGTTCCCCTCCATTCCATTCTCCAGAAAGCTGACAGCATGAGCTCTTCACATACAGATCTGACCATAGTTTTCTGCTTAAAATCTGTCGGCGAGTTCCGATTGCCTCATGGCAAACTCCAATCTCTATGGCAAGACCTCTGTGCCTCAGCTAGCTGACTCCCTTATCTCATAGCCTCCCCTGAACCTCTGGCCGTCTGAGTTACTTGTAACTCCCTAAATGCGTGGTGTCCTTTCTCACATCTGAGCCTTCACACACACACCTCCACGGTCTCATAGCCTCCCCTTGCCAACTCCTACTCCTCCTGGGAAGCTCAGCCTGGGCACTGCTTCTCCAAGAGACCTTTCCCTGAGGCTGGGCACCTATGCCACCCATGGTACCTCCATCATAGCATCTCTCACACCGGACTTTAAAAAAATAAACAAAAAACATTTGTTGAGCACTTGCTATGTGCCAGACATACTACTAAGCACTTTATATATATGACCTTAGTTCATCCTTACTGTACCTTGGAGACAGGTATAGTATCATTAGTCCAAAGGACACACAGCTAATAAGGGGCAGAGCCAGAATTTGACTCAGAAGCCATACCCCTGGTAAGTATACTAGGTGGGAGGGTCGGGGGAGACCCTCCTGGAGGGCTCGGACCAGATCCTATCATCGTGGTACCTGAGAGAAAACTATCACCCACCCTTTTTATCTGACCATTATCTCTTATTTTCTATAGGCTGATATTGTGCTTTCCTGGTGACATCATCTAAAATCCTCTTTGGAAGTGGACTGGGCAAAATGCAATTAAATGCGATTGCTGCTAACTGTTCCAGAGGGCTGCAGAGATCTGCAAGACTCCCATGTGACACATGTGCAGTGCCCCTCAGCTTACTAGGTGCTTTGGCAATATTAAGGTACCGGATCCTCACAAACCCCAGTGAGAGAGGCAAGTCAGGGAAGCTTGTTTCCATTTTACAGAAGAGGACAGTAATGCTCATGGTGGATCAGAGGAGAGGCAAGATTCAAACTCAGGAGCTAGGCCATGCTTTCTTCCAAAAGGCCATGTCTTTCCTCTGAGAGGCTGTTCCTGTGCTCAGTGGCTTGCAGGATCTGTAGACTGTCCTGCGGCACCCTGAAGAGCCTGCAGGGTGATGACTGTATCAGGGGCAGGATGGACTTAGCATAAAGTCCAAATATCTCATAGGGGCTTTTCAGGCCCTGGGCAAGGTGGCTTCTGCTCGTCTCCCCTGCCTCATTTCCAACCACTCCTCCCTCCCCAGAACACTGTTGAATTCAGCCCCACACCCAGGTCCCAGTGCAGAATGTTCTGGCTGCCTAGAATGCCCTCACTCTGTACCCCCTTTTCACCACATGCACACTATTTTGCTTGGCTGTCCACTACTCGTCCTACAGCTTAGACACCTCTTCTGGGGAGCCTTCTCTGGTTTGGATCAAAGCCAGTAATCATATGTCCCTCAATTTTCTCTCATCCAGCTAAAGAGCCCTTGTTCCTTCTTCTAGGACTAGGGGGACATGGTTGAAAGCAGCATGACATAGCAAAAGGAGTTGGAAGACCTGGGTTCTAGTCTCAGTTCTGCCACTAACTTGCTGTGTGACCCTGAGTAAGTCACATTCCCCCTCTGGGCCCTGTTTCCTCTTCTGTAAAATGGGAACAATAGTTTCTGCTCTATCCAAACCAGATGATGGAACATAAGATAAGGGTATGTTAGAAGCTTGTATAAAGATGCTTTTAAAAAATAGCCTTCCGGGGCGCCTGGGTGGCGCAGTCGGTTAAGCGTCCGACTTCAGCCGGGTCACGATCCTCGCGGTCCGTGAGTTCGAGCCCCACGTCAGGCTCTGGGCTGATGGCTCAGAGCCTGGAGCCTGTTTCCGATTCTGTGTCTCCCTCTCTCTCTGCTCCTCCCCCATTCATGCTCTGTCTCTCTCTGTCCCAAAAAAAAATAAATAAATAAATGTTGGAAAAAAAAAATTAAAAAATAGCCTTCCTATGTATAGCCACAGGAGCCTGTCTCATCAATCAAAATCATGTTCCCAGTGACCCAGGAAGGCCTCATGAATTTGCAGAGTGAGCCTTATGACAGCACCTTGCTGTTATGTATACACCGCACTGCATAAGTCAGGTTCCGGAAGATGTTTCCTTCCATCTTGGCTCGGCCATAGGAGCAAACGAAGACGCCTCCCTTTCCGTCCCGGAAGAGGCACTTGCGGATCAGGCAGCCCTGCACGGAGCTGGCCAGTGCCATGGCCTCCTTGTCCTTCTGCAGCTCCTGCTGCAGGGAGTTCAGCACTAGGCAACTGGGCAGCTGAATGGATGCTCCTGGAAGTGGTGGGCCTAGAAAGGAGCCCCCCAGTACGGGGCGTGGGCCTTGCACTTGGTAGGACAGTCTGTATGTGAGCTGGTCCTCATCCTCATCCTCACCACTAGGACTCAGGCCTCCATCGCTGCTGTCTGGGGTCTGGGCCACCCTTTCCCCATCACTGCCCACCTCTGCCTCCTGTGAGCCAGCCTTGGAGCCTGGCTTTGGGGAGGTAGAAGCTGGGCTGGTAGGGCTTTGGCTGCCTTCAATGACAATGTCACAGGTCCTTGGGCTCCAAGCCTGGTCCCTGCTCTCCAGGTCCAGGGACATTAAAGAGTCAGAATCCTCCGTGGGTAGCACACTGGGGGAGGACTTGATAAGCCCTAGTAGATACTTGTAGGCCCAGTTCTTGTCTGCAGATGGGTGGCCCTCCACAGTCACAGAGTTGTTTTCACTGCCCACAAATTCACAGTTTTCCAGGACACACAGGGGCACATTGTGCAGGAAAACATGGGTGTTTTTGAAGGTGCAAAACTTCACTTGGCAGGTGCCTGGGCCATGGACCTGGATATGCCCATTCTCAAAGTTGCAGTTGTCAAATTGGACATGACCCGATGTTGTCTGAGGAATAAGAAAGAGAGAGTGGATAAAACAGGGATGAGAATTACTTTGTTAGGCAGTACTCTAACCACTCTTTAAGGAGGGTGGAGCACGGAGAGGCCATTTGTCCTGCTGATCCTATCCTCCGCCCCCACAACCCCCCGCCCAGGGCATGTGTCAGGCCCCCGGACAGGAAGCTGCACTGCATCAGAGCGGTGAAAATTTGGAGTTGCCTGCCTTTCCCTCCTTCTAATCCCAAGGGATGAAAGTAGAAACAGATAATGGCAGGAAAAAGTTCACGCCGTGCAGCAGGGCCCTTCCTAAAGACCTCAAATATGAAGTAAATTCTCCCAATACTCAAGAAATGCTTAGTGAGAACATAAACTTTGAGGGGTAAGGATGGGGAAGAGGGAAGAAGCTGAATGCTCAGAAGGATGCTGTGTGAAATGGATCAATGGTAACCAGGAGAAGGAATGTCACTATAGAGATGATACGGAATAACAGGGACAGCTTTGAACTGTGAGAAACACAAGAACTTGTTGGGATTTGAGCATGACTTTACTGTGACCCCTGAAGGGGGAGGGAATCCTAAAGTGGTATCTCGGTTATGTGAAGGAAGTGTGAGGTCACGAGGTGCTGTGCTAGGTCTCAACCCTTCAGCCCACTTTCCATTCACCATCTTCTCTCAGCCCTGCAGCACCCCACAGAGCATCAGCTTGGTGTCTGAACTTAGGACAGAGCCAGGCAGAACCCTGAGGGCTAACAGAAGACAGGCCAGGAGGGGCTGAGCCCTGCCTGGGCTGGGGCAGGCAGTACGGGATGCCCAGCCACAGGTACCGGGAAAGAATCCAGCCTGTCTGGCAACTGGAACATAGCAGGGAGTACAGCAAAGGACAGCAGGCTACGTCCCTAAAGAGGGGGGTGAGGTATGCTGCCACAGCTGGGCAGCACTGAGCAGTGGTTAAGATGGGCTCTGGAGTCTGACTGCATGGGGCACTCCCATCTCTGCCTCTTTCAAGTATGTTACCTTGGATAGGACTTCACCTCTCTGAGGCTCAGTTTCTTTGTCTGCAATAGGGGGCTTACCAGCTAACGAAGCAAAAGGCGGAGAGCCAGATACAAAGTTGGCACCTAATAAAAATTAGCTATCATTACCTGGGGTCAGGGACACAAAGGACAGAGACTCCTCTCGGGGAGGGAAGTGCTGAACCCCACAGCACCACTCCCCTGAGCCCCTCAGCTCCCAGGCCTGACTGAGAAGCCCAGCCACTCTGTATTCCTGAAGAGTAACTGTTTCTGGATTTCATGCTAAATGCCACCAGATGGATTTGAACTGTAAAATGAGGGAATGCTCCATGATTCCACTGAGTGATCCAGACACATCCACCCCATGAACAGTTTCTACATTCTCTAGCAGTGACCACCCTTGAGACCCTGGCCTGGACCTTACTTGCCTTAACCTCTGTAAATTCTTCCTTATGGCTAAGTTAATTTTTTCTAGCTGCGATTTAAGTCTATTTTCTTTTACTTGGTCCTCTCCGTAGATGAACACCAGCTCTCTGGAGATGCACAGCTGTTGTTAGGGTTCTCCTCAGAAGTCACTGAAAACTGCTGTGAAATCACTCTGGCCTTTGCATTTTTCAGGCAAGGTCATCCTAGCCCCTGTCCTGTTTTCAGTTAAAAGACAATCACGAATGGAGCACTGATACATGCCAAGCATTAAGCCAGATGGTGGGCTGGGCTACAGAGAAGTGTTAAGGCCAGGCCCCCACCCTATGAGGATCTGCAGCTGCACTTCTAAGGGGGAAGGAGAGGCTGAAACCAACATTTTACCCTCAGAGTAAATGGAAACATCGAAGGTCTGGAATCAAACTTTCTTCTGGGTCTACAGACCCACATAGGAATCGTTCATCAGTCCTTCTGAAACAATCTAGGCCTAAAAAGTAGGCTTTTAGGTTTCCAAGGAATCCAACACAATGTAACTTCAAAGGGGCTTACAATTTGAGTTCTGGATTTCAGTTCTAACTTCACTAATTATGCATTTGAGAAAGTTACTTAGCAGCATCTCTGAGCTTTTTCGTGCCCCTCACCTGCAAAATGGGGATCCCACGTGTACTACCTACCACAAATGTTTGTTGTGGGGATCAAATGAAGTCACCGATGCAAAGTCACCTAGATTATCAATATAGGCTTTGGATCCTAGCTCTGTCTCTTACTATGTCACTTAATCTTGCTGAGCCTCAGTTTGCTCATCTATAAAACCGGATGACACTACACATCTTACCAATGGCTGTAAAGCATACGCCAGGCACACAGTCAGTGCACCATAAACGACTGGTAGTATAGCGATCATTACAAACTTGAGGGACAATTTGTTGTTACTGGTAGAATAGTGGCAACATAATTATTATTGATTAGGTACAAAGTTTACATATTACAGTGTTTCTATGCAAGGTAAAGCTGTAAACCGCTCTGCCAGGACCTACCAACGCGTCAATACATACGTTGCTTTGAATACAGCCTGTGTGCTCTGTGTTACCAGAGGATATGTGTTGGGCTGGTATTTCCTGAGCCTCTCTCAAGTCACTCTTGGTGAAAGCCTGACCTTGCTTGATCCTCCTTCACAGGGTGGGGCTGACATGCTAAAGGTCATTGGTCCTGCATAGCCTCCCCTGGCTTTGCCTATCTCTGAGCATGAAGTGTTGTTCTCTGCTTCCTGCGACCATGTGGCATACTCCCAGACCTGGCTTTCCCACCTAGCTACTCCCCTGTGGTTCAAGTGCGTCCAGTGGGGAAGAGGAGTACAAAGCAGTTCGGGTTCTGAGTCCTTGGCTTATTTTTTAATACAGTTTTGCCAGGAATAAAGCAGAATGTTGATTGTTACTTGCCCATTTCTTAACTGGTGCAGAGGAGCATGTTACAGGAATAACGACAAAACTCTTAATTCCAACAAAAAGGGGTTGCAAACCCACTAAAAAGAGGCCAAAGCCCAGGGTCAGGACCGGAGAGGCCACCTATCTGGATATGGACACCCACCTTAAACATGAAAGGGGAGAACCAGGCCGGCATGAAGACAAGGTTGCACAGGCGTGTGGTGGAGCAGTGCTGATCAATGCTGGCTAGCAGGGCCACTTCACCCAACTTCCCGTGGCCTACGATCTCCACGGGTACCTTCAGGATGATTTCACCTTGCTCTTCATACACACCTGGGAATAGCACAATTCGGTCATACAGGCTAGCCATGGCCAAGGCACTGCCCAGGCTGTCAAACTCATGGCCTGGCCCAACACTCAGGGTACGGCGTTCCCTCCTCCGGCGAAATAGAGAAAAGCAGACAGAGGACTCCAAGTCCAGGGCATTCTTGGTCCATGTCTTAGAGGCAAGGTAATGTTGCTTGAAGGCCTCCCTCCAAGACTCAGGCTCCACATCGGGCTGGTTGGGCCAGTTTGGGTGGCGGCATTCGGTGCATCCCAGACACAGCTGCCGCCAGCGGGTGCTGTCGAGACTGAGGATTAGGTCATACCAGGCTCTGCACACCAGGCTGCAACGGCCCAGGTCGGGAAGGTGCAGATAGGCTAAGATCATGCGCCACAGCTCCAAGGGGAGACCACCGGCCTCCATGGTCACCTGGGAGCAAACACAAAACCAAAGAGGTTTTTGTTGACCCCTCTTACAGTTCCACTTTTTTTTTTTTTTAACATTTATTTATTTTTGAGACAGAGAGAGACAGAGCATGAATGGGGGAGGGTCAGAGAGAGGGAGACACAGAATCTGAAACAGGCTCCAGGCTCTGAGCTGTCAGCACAGAGCCCGACGCGGGGCTCGAACTCACGGACTGCGAGATCATGACCTGAGCCGAAGTCGGCCGCTTAACCGACTGAGCCACCCAGGTGCCCCCAGTTCCTCTTCTTAAAATATTCCCTGCCTTCTCGTGACCCCAAGGGTGTGCAAGAGAACAGGGCCCAGCCAATCATAGAGCTCCATCCCCTCAATCAGAATCCTCTGGGATTGTTCCACCTGGAATCAGCAGGCAAGACTCTCTTTCCTCTTGGTCAGAAACTGTAAGGATATAACCCCCAAACTGCTGTTCAGCCATTTTCCCCACTTGTGGAAAGAACCTTGTGGGTACCAGAGCCAGGCAGAGATGAGGAGATGAAAGATGAAAATTGAGAAAGAAAGAAAAAAAGCGATCACATGTATATGTGTCCTGGTGGTACTGACTCCACACTCCTGAAGCTGCTCTGGAATATGCAGTTCTTTCCTCACTTCCAGGAGGTACCTCAATGGCCTTCTAATAAATTACCTTTTTTGCTCAAGTTAGTTTGATTTGGGTTTCTATGACTTGTAACAAGGTTTTGGACTAATACAGAAAGGAACCCACCTTTCACTGTTTCAGTCCTAGAGCTCTGGACTTCCCAGACTCCCAGGGAAGGGACCTCTATTTCTTCACAGCAAGAGGAATGAGAACTGAGGCAGTGAGTGTCCGTCTGTCTGCCTCTCTTCATTACCAGATCACATAATTACACTGTACTCCCATGTGAGGAAGCCTCAGGAAAGACTGATGCTGGGTCAGGCTGTGAGTTTTGGTCCTGGCTTTGTGGCTGGTTACTGATGCAACCCTGTGTCCTAAACACCTACCATGCTGGCTGCCCAGCCATCTGCGCCCTTGCTTTCTGCCCCACCAACAATTTACCCCACATGTTTAGAGATGCAGAGCTCCCTGGTAGCTCTGTCTGTGGAACACTACTCCCCAGGCCCTTAGCAGCATATAGCTGGGATGCTGGATGGCTCCAACTGGACCACTGAAATCTCCACTGGAATAGGATTTGCAATTCTAGAATCAGGTTGACTTCTTTCCTGAATGGAGAACAATGAAAGGCTTCTTTCCTGAGCCATAAACTCAGGAAGAGTTGCTAATGACCATTTTCTTTGGGGCGGGGAGGGGGGAGGAAGGGCAGAAGAAGCTAGTCTATATTGAGAGAAGAACGAATTGGAGACAAAGAAATGAGCAGAGAAAAGGGCAGAAACCATGCCAGTTCCTCTATGGCACTCCAGGTCACGGTTCCAGCCTATGCTTAAGGCTCAGCTTTATCCTTGCCTTTTGAATTCCATCAGCTAGCTCTGTGCTCTTGTGATAAATTCTCCTTTTTGGTTAAGTTGGCTTCATTGAATTTCTGTCATTTATACCTAGCTAAAGCCCTCTCATTTATGAGTGTCAATTTCCCCACCTAAAAAACAAGAGGACTGTGTTAGATGACCTAGAGCAACTTCCAAGTCTGAAACCCTATAAAGGCTCTAGACAACTAGAAACTCAAACTGGAAATAGGGCAGACTTCACAGCCAACTGTAATCCAGTTGTTAACCTCTTCAGGGCCTTGGTTTTCCTCCCCATTTTATGAAAATGATGATCATACCTGTCACCTATCTAGGCCCAGGAAGGCTAGAAGCACAAATGTATGATTATGTCTGCAAGATTTCTGAGCGTCATCGTGACAGGTGTGACTTTACCTTTACAGATTGGTATGAGGGCCTGGGTAGGTAGGTTTTTCTATAACGATCACCCAGTGACACTTTACTAAGTCCTCAGCAGCAATGGAGAAAAGCTGGGCTCTGGACTGGTAAGCATTACAGAGCAAAGACTGGGCTCCTGATAGCTGTCACTCTCTCAAATGAACACTGCTTTATTCACAGTGTGAATGGGTCTCTGTGACACCCATGTCCTGTTCCTCACCTCCTTCTTTAGCCATACCTCTTAGGCTTTTTAAGACAAAAGTGTTTTTGTTTTTTTTTTTAATTTATTCATTTCAAGAGAGCAAGAATGAGAGAGAGAACTAGAGGGGGAGGGGTAGAGAGAGAAGGGACAGAGGATCTGAAGCAGGCTCCAAGCTGACAGCAGAGAGCCCAATGTGGGGCTTGACTCATGAACCATGAGATCATGACCTGAGCCGAAGCCAAATGCTTTAAGCTAAGACTGAGCCACCCAGGCACCCCCAGAAAATTGGTCTTCCCTCCTTCTCTAACTATTGTAAGAAAGTACGTATAGCTAGGTGATCATATCCCTTGGCTTTAACTACAAAATCTGAATCTCTAGCCCCAGTAGTCTCTCTCAGGCTTTCCATACATGGGTACCCAATTGCCTGCTGAGCATTTCTATCTGTATGTTCCACAGATACTAAAAATTCAGCATTGTATCCAAACCAGAACCTCAACTTCCACTTCTGGCCATGACAAAATAACTGGAACTAGATTCTCCCTCCTGCCATGAAAAACTATAAAGTTGCTCTGGGGGCACCTGGGTGGCTCAGTTGATTAAACACCTGACTCTTGAATTTGGCTCAGGTCATGATCTCAAAGTCATGAGATCAAGCCCTGTGTCAGGCTCCATGCTGAGTGTGGAGACTGCTTGGGATCCTCTCTCTCCATCTCTGCCCCTCCCCCCAACTCTCTCTCCCAAAATAAATAAATAAACTTAAAAAAAAAAAAACTATAAAGTTGCTCTGAATATATGCTTTCAGGCACTGAACAGCAAGCTGTGCAGGGCTGTAATCTTGGAGAGAAGGGAAACACAGGAGGGGAGCATGTGACTGTTCTAGCTTTCACTCAGGGCACCTTCTCATAGTGGGTAGAGAGACGATGCCCAAGCAGAGTGGCAGTCTCACTGAGCAGGAAGATCTGAGTTCTGTGATGCTTGAGTGCCTGGAATCTGTGAGGCAGGGTGAGGTGGGTGGGCAGTTTCTTGGCTCAAGGCTGGACTGCACAAGCACAGGGCAAGTCTTCATGGGACCTAGTAGAGATCACCTGCTACAGGGTAAATGGGGGTACTAGAGATTACACAGAGCTGGGAGCCAATGCAAGTCCAGTCCAGAATATGGAGTCTCACACTGAGACCCAGAAAGTACATACCACAGGGACATACTCAAATTGGAAGAATAAAAGCAAGCCTGATAGGATCAAAGGGTTCTGCCAGTAACTGAACTGTTAGAATACAATTTAACACTCAACAAAAACAAAAAGACAACATAATCTAGACCCCCTCAACACGTCAGCCACAAGACAGTGTGGTATGGGCATGAGGAAAATAGAGTTCAGAACAAATATGTGTACTGAGCAACTAACTTTTGACAAAATATCAATGCAATTCAATGGATAAACAAAAGTCTTCATCAATTGGTGTTGGGAAACTTGACCTACATATGAAAAAAATGAACTTTTGACACATACCATATACAAAAATTTAAGACTGATTTTAGACCTCAGCACAAAAAACAAATCTATAAAGCTTCTAGAAGAAAACATAAGAAAATATGCAACCTTGGGATAGGCAAAGATTTCTGAGAGCACAAAAGGTACTAATCATAAAAAGACAAAAATCAATAAATTAAAATTTATCTCAAAATTAAAATTTTCTGCTCATCAAAAGGCATTATTGGGGCGCCTGGGTGGCTCAGTCGGTTAAGCATCTGACTTCGGCTCAGGTCATGATCTCACGGTCCATGAGTTCGAGCCCCGCGTCGGGCTCTGTGCTGGCTGCTCAGAGCCTGGAGCCTGTTTCGGATTCTGTGTCTCCCTCTCTCTATGACCCTCCCCTGTTCATGCTCTGTCTCTCTCTGTCTCAAAAATAAATAAACGTTAAAAAAAAAAAAAAGAATTTCAAAAGGCATTATTAAGAAAATGAAAAGACTGGGGCACCAGGGTGGCTCAGTCAGTTGAGTGTCCAACTCAGTTGTGATTCTCAGTTCATGGGATCAAGCCCAGTGTCAGGCTCTGCACTGACAGTGCAGATCCTGCTTGGGATTCTCTCTCTCCGCGCCGCCCTCCCCCATCCGTGAACGTGCACACATTCTCTCTCTCAAAAAAAAAAAAAGAAAAAAAAGTTAAGAAATGAAAAAAAAATGAAAAGACAAATGAAAGAACAGGAGAGAATATTTGCAGTGCATGTATAGGACAAAGGGCTTGTATCCAGAAAAGATCAAGAAATCCTATAGCTCGACAACAACAACAACAACAACAACAACAACAATCCAACAAAAAACAGGCAAAGATTTGAACAGAAACTTCACAAAAGAAAAACTAATGGCCAAAAAGTTCAAGAAGAGCTGTTCAACATCATTAGTATTCATTACTTGATTTATATTAAAACCATAATGACAGAGATGTGTGTGTTACACTCACTACATTGGCTGAAACTGAAAACCCTAAAGGCATCAAAGCACCAAGATGTGAAGCAACCAGAACTCTCACACATTGTGGTAGGAGCATAAAATACTATAATCACTTTAGAAAGCTAGTAGTCTCTTCTGTCATTAAACATACACCTATGCTATGACCTAGATATTTACTGGAGATAAATGAAAATGTACACCTATGAAAAGACTTAGAATGTTTACAGAGGCTTTATTCATAATAGTAAAATAACCAAACAAAAACTGGAAACAACCCAAATGACCACCACCGGAAGAGTAGATAAACAAATTGTGGTGTATTCATGCAACGCAATACTATTCAGCAGGTAAGGAGATGAATTACTGACATATACAATAGACAGGTGAGCCACAAAAATATGTTAAGCAAAAGAAACCAGTCACAAAAGACAACGTATTGTATGATTCCACACAGGTAAAGTTCAA